ACTGAAGGGTCCTGGGTTCGATTCCAGCCAAGGGTATGTACCTCGGTTGCAGGCTCAATCCCTGGCCCCAGTCAGGGCATGTGGAGGGAACCAATCTCTCTCTCTCCCTCTCCCTCCTTCTCTCTCTCTCCTTCTGAAAATCAATAGAAAAAATATCCTCAGGCGAGGATTAAAAAAAAAAGTTAAGTGGAGACATTGAGAATATTAAAAAAGACCAAACTGAACAGCTACAATGTCCTGGTTGAAAAATACACTAGATAGGAGTAACAGCACATTAGACATTGCCAAAGAAAATATAGTCAGCTTAAAGGTACAGAAATAGTTACTATTGAAATGAAACAGTAAAAAGAATCAAAAGAAGAAGAAGAGCACCAGTGAATTGTGGGACAACTTCATACAGCCTAATATATGAGAAATTTTAGTCCATGAAGGAGGAGAGAGGGGAGCTTCATAAAAGAAAATTTTGAAAAAATACTGACCACAATTTTTCCAAATTTGATGAACACTAGAAATCCACAGATCCAAGAAACCCAAGCACAAGAAACATGAAGAAAACTACACAAAGGCATGTCATAATCAGATTGCTCAAAATGGTACTAAAGAGCAAATCTTCAAAGAAGCCAAAGGAAAAAGACATGTTACACAGCCACAAATATAAGGATGACAGCAGATTTCTCACTGGAAACAATGCTGTATGTTCAAACAAGAAGCCACTAGAGTAATATCTTTAAAGCACTTTAAGAGATAGAAACTGCCTACCTAGAATTCTATCCCCATGAAAATATCTTTCAAAAAATAGGGTGAAATAAAGACTTTTTCAGACACAAAAAAACTGAGAGAATTCATCACCAGCAGACCTGAACAAGAAATATTAAGGGATGTCCTTCAGGCAGACAGCAAACGATACCTGGTGGAAGTCAGGACCTACACAAACGAATGAAGAGCACTGGAAACAGTAGCTACATGGGTAAACACACAATTCCTTTTCTTATTATTTAAGTGCATTTAAAGTAATTGATTGTGTAAAGAAAAATACCAACTTATTAGGGAGGGTTATAACATGTAAAAGTAAATGCACAATAACAATAGCATAAAGGCTAAACAGGGAGAAATTGAAGCACACTATTGTAAAGTTCTTATATTATAAGCAAAGTGGTATATATTCCTTGAAGGTAGACTTTGATAAATTAAAGATGTATACTACAAATCAATCAGTAAATAAAACCTATAGTTAATAAGCCAACAAAAGAGATAAAGTAGAATCATTAAAAAATACTTAATCCAAAATACAGCAGAAAAAAAGAGAAAAGGAGGACATAAGGACAAATAGAAAAGTTATGAAAGACTTATTTAAATATATCAATAATCACACTAACTAGACCAATTAACACATATCATCATATAGATTATATAAAAAGACCTAACTACATGCTACCTAAGTGTGTTAAGAAACACATAAAATGTAATACACAAGGGGAGTGACATCAACAAAATATCAGACTAGGAAGCTCCAAGCTCTCATTCCCCAACAGAAACAGAAAAAGAAGCAGGGTTACCAGAACCAATTATCTGAGCTCTGAAAAATACTAGTGATAGATTTATAGCAACCAAGCAAGCATACAATCAAGAAAAAGCCATGTTCAAAGTTGTAGGAACATTTTGTGGCATTCTTACTTGCCCTCACCTCATCCTCTCCCTAGCACTATGGCAATCATGGTCTTGGTGGCAGTCAAGATCTCAAATCAGCAGCCAGGTTCCCAGTTCACTCCCTTGAAACCAGAGGGGGCCAAAGCAGATCTTATTTGCAAATGATTGTGTATGTGCACCTTGTTCCATGTTCCTTTCTTCTTTTCTTCTTCTGGAATGATTGTTCATGTATTTCCTTCCCTCTGCTGTTTGAAATTTATACTTTTTCTAGCCTTTAGCTTGATATCCTTAATTTATCAAACTATATTAGTCCAGCTGAAAATCTTTTAAAATATGCATTGTATAACAATAAAGTAAAAAAAAAAAAAAAA